CTGCTCTTCAGGTTACTCAGGGCACAGGGCTAAGTTTTGACCAACATCCAAGAGGTCCTGGTGCCCTGCAATGTCAGTATGTGACAACTCCTGATTTATTCTTCACCAGCAACTGGAGCAACAGGACAAGGGGGAATGGATCCAAACAGAAAGAGAATAGACTTAGATATTGGGAAGAAATTGTTCCGTATGAGGGTGATGAGGCAGTGGCACAGGTTGCTCAGAGAACCTGTGGCTGTCTCATCCCTGGAAGTCTTCAAGACCAGGCTGGTTGGGGCTTGGAGCAACCTGGTCTAGTGGAAGGTGTCCCTGCATGGATCTTACACATAGTTGTGCTAAAACAAATCAGATGGGGACATCTGCCCCTAAACTGATGGTGTTTAGGTTGGAAAAGCCCTCTAAGATCATTAAGTCCAGCCATTCCCCAGCACTGCCAAGGCCACCACCAACCATGCCCTCAAGTGCCACATCCATGTGACTGTTAAATCCCTCCAGGGATGGTGACTCTACCACTGCCCTGGGCAGCCTGTGCCACAGCTGGACAACCCTTTCAGGGAAGAAATTTTCCCTAATATCCAACCTACAGCTTCCCTGGCACTTGAGGCTGTTTTCCTCTTGTCCTGTCACCTATTCCCCGAGAGCAGAGCCTGACCCACACTTAGCTGCACCTCCTGTCAGGGAGTTGTGGAGAGCCAGAAGGTTCCCCCTGAGCCTCCTTTTCTCCAGGCTCAGATCAGCGATGACCCTTCTCCTGTTCCTTTGTAAGGACACGGAATCTCCATTATGAATGCCACACTGTAATCTCTGTGCGTCCTTCCTGGCAAGACGACCAGTAAGACCAGTAGAGGGAGCATGGTACTGGGTTCGGCTGCAGCTCGCTGGGTCAGGGCAGGGAGGACTCGGTGGAGCTTTTCTCCCTGCTGGTCTGAGAAAAAAAACAGGGGAGGTTCCACAAATGGACAGCAGAAAACAAAACAAAAAAACCCCAACAATATAAAGAGCATTATAAACAGGCAATCACTTAATGATATTTCCCCACAATATTTTATCAGTCATCGAATCATGGAACCACAGAATGGTCTGGGCTGGAAGGAACCTCAAATCTCATTTCCACCCCCTGCCATCAGCAGGGACACTTTTCACTTGACCAGGTTGCTCCAAACCCTGTCCAGCCTGGCCTGGAACACTTCCAGGGATGAGACAGCCATAGCTTCTCTGGGCAACCTGCACCAGGGAACAATTGCTTCCCAAAATCCCATCTAGCCCTTCCCTTTGGCAGTGTGAAGCCATTCTCCCTTGTCCTGTCTATCCAGCCCTTGTTCAAAGTCCCTCTCTGTCTCTCCTGGAGCCCCTTTAGGCACAGAAAGGGGCTCTAAGGTCTCCCCAGAGCCTTCTCTCCTCCAGGCTGAACACCTCCACTTGCCCAATGTCCCAGCTGCAACAGGGGAACAATGAAGTTAGATGTGGGGACACAGACTGGGTTGGCATCCCGCACCCTGGGCTGTATTCATCTGTAGATTGAGTTTGATGATCCCTGGAGAATTAGACATTCTGGGAAGATTAAATGTGGCTCCTAATCCTCCCAGATCCCGGCAGCAAACTTAGCATGGCCAAGCAGCAGCATTTGGAGGCAGCAAGAGCTTCCTGCTGGTTTATTTTAGGAAGCAGCTTTAAATACAGCCTTTAAGGGATCCCTGGGCATGTTTGCCATTGTGGAAGCAAAGAGAGGTCAGGATGAACATCTGTTTGCTGGGCACTGTGAATTTGCAGTTACTGCAGCATGTGGAGTGTGCTGGCTCTGAGCTGTGCTGCCGTGGTGTGTGCAAGGAGCACCCTCTGCTGATACCACCCTTGCACAAGCACAGAGTTTAATCCCTTGGGAACTGACTGTACTTTAATTAATGATTTGGGAATTAAAGGTTCAAGCAGGACCTGAATGAGTTTGGGGTTTTTTAAAAGGAGGATATGAAAAAAGCAATGCAGATCCAATTCAGAGTCCAGTGCATTGCCCAGGAAACTTATTTCTGCTTCATCTCCATATATTTTAACCCTGTTCTAATCCTTTGGGGGTATTTTAAACACCCTCATGATAGACCTGCAATAGGCCTGGAAGTGTTCAAAAGCTGTGTAGATGTGTCACTTGGGGACATGGTTAGTGGTGGCCTTGGCAGTGCTGAGAGAGTGGTTGGACTAGTTGGATGTCTCCTAGAGAGGGCTTTTCCAATGTAAATGCATCTATGGGTCTCTGATTCCAATATTGGAATTGGCCTGGAAATGTTCAAAAGCCATGTAGATGTGGCATTTTGGGGCCAAGGGTTAGCAGTGGGCTTGGCAGTGCTGAAGGAACCATTAGACTTGGTGGTCTTAGAGGGCTTTTCCAACCTAAATGAGTCTTATGACTTTCTGATTCCAATGCATGGCTGAGCTCAGCTGCATCATAATCCTGTGGAAAATATACCAAAAAGATTAAAATGAATCTGTTTGGGCCAGACTGTGTTTGAACAGATAACTAGTGATGCCTGCTGGGGGTTGATGTTGCCTCCAGAGTGATTTTGGATGCTGTGGATGGATTTTGGATGCTGTAGACTGCTCTACCTATACTATGTTCAAAAAGCAGTCAACAAACTGTGCTGCTGTCCAGACCCTTATCTCCACTTTCACAGTCCTGCCCCGTCACTTATCAGTTCATCCTTATGATGAAAGATACACCCAGCATCACCATCCTCCCTCATACAGTGCTTTGGTAACCTCAGCTGAGGAGATGTGCACCTTGGATATGCAGAAGTGAGGAGGGAGGTGAAATGAGGAAAGTATAAGCTTCACAAGATCCATCTCTACCAGAGCTCTCAAACATAAGTCACTCTTTTTATTGCTGACTAAAAACTGGGACTTAGCTTAGGCAAGACATATCACCTTTAGATCACACAACCTGGCTTATCAGTTAAATATAGCAGTAGGCAGATAAAATTAAGATCTTAGATAATTTTGGGGACAAATTTTGTCTT